CCGGGCTGGGCCTGGCCACAGCACTGGCAGGTGCTTGGCACTGACAGGCGAGAACATCAATGGAAGACTTGGCTTAGCCCCTGGGCCACATGCCGACCCTCCTGGCCCTTTCTGCCAGCCGAGCTGCCACCTCCCCTGGCATCCAGTGCTGCCCGCTCTGTGCAGAGCTGATCTTTCTAAAGAGGCCTGGAGGGCGGGAGGGGCAGGGGGAGCCTGTTCCAGGGGTACCCAGTGGGCCTCAGGGTGCCGTGGGAATGTGACTGTGGTGGGCACAGCCTAGATGACCTGAACACAGGGCCCAGTGTGGCAGGCCTCCCTGTCCCTGCCCTGCCGGGGCACCCGGGTTGTAGTGTGGGGAGGCCAGGGTAGGCCCAGCCCAGCCCCACCTCTGGGCCTGCAGGTGTGTGGGGCGTGCATCCCCCAAGAGCTGGTACATCGTCTGTTCTGGGACCACGGCCCTTCCCGAGGCCCAGGGCAGAGCTGCCCAATCGCTATCCTGGCAGACCCACCAGAGCAACCGAGAGCCATGGCAGGAAGAGGCAGTGGCAGTACACGTCCTCTCCGTACGCTCCAACACACCCAGGTGCACGTCCCCAGCCTCACCAGTTGCCTCTCCATGTCCTCGTCCCGGGGAGAGCTGACAAAGATCGTGTTCTGCATCAGGCCCACAAAGCACCAGAAGGTGTCTGACTCGTCCAGGACTTCGGCCAGGATGGGCGCCACCAGGTCCGACATGCCCTGGGAGTAGCCGATGGCCGGGTTGTACACGGCATAGTTGAGCAGGATCCTCCTGGCAAGGCGGTGGGAGCGCAGAGGGTGGGCATGGCCGACCGTGCCTGGCTGTCCTCGCCGTGGTGCGAGGCCCTGGCTGCCTGGACCCCCCTCCTTCACCTTGATCTCGACTCGTTGGCAGGTGCCTGCCCCAAGAGCCGGAGCTCCGGAGCAGGACCAGCAGGTCCCTCTGCAGATGTAAAGGTCTGCAAGTCACTGCTGTCGAGGCCCAGAGCCTGACCGGGGGGGGGGGGGGGGGGGGGGGCTGGAGGGCGCGGGACTTTCTCAATGGCCGACTGCTCTGACGGGGACGTTTTTATGGGTTGCTAACTTTGTGCAACTATTTGTCAGAATGGCAAAGATGCCAGCCTTAGACATCCACAGGGCGGTGGCGGGCCCTCGTGGGGAGGCTTGTCCACGGCTGGTGTGAACCAGACAAGGGCAGACTCCATGGGCACCCAGAAATTGGGGCCTGGCGGGCACCTCGGGAGAGCCCTGGAGGGGTCTTGGGGGACCGTGGCCCGGAGACACTCTTGGGCCCCGGGCGCACCAGGCTGGCAGATGGAC